TCGACAACTCGGCGCAATCATCCTAGAATTGTTCCTTACTCTCGTTCTATGACGTGTGCACGATGCTACCCGGAAATCCGCAACGCTTTCGCGTCCTCTATCTTCAAAAGCGACACAATTCTGTTAGATTAAGTAGGGGCGGGTAACTAGTATGTGACAGGGCTGAAGGATATGTCTTACGGAAACAGACCGTAAAATTTTTGGTTTCATCTCTTTGAGCTATAAGAGCATAAAAATCAATCCGATAATGTCATGCAACATATTAAGCATTTTAAGTTGTAGAATTATGGCCAACTTCATTCTCAGTATAGCTCTAATAATAAACCTTTTTCTAAAATTGTAGATTTGTCCTGATGTAACTGCCAAATCTATAAGATCCTACGTGGAAGTCACACTTATCTACTCCAACTCATCGCATCATAACAATCATCAATATATGGTGAAAAACACACTTAGGCTAGAGACAGAACACTATATTTAATCTGAATAATAGACATTAGATAACATTCGACAGGGTCCACGCCTACAAGTCTGAGCCATGTCATCCGATTTAATTCAGTTCATTTCTCACGCCTTCTCCATCGTTGGGTTTTTCTCCGCGTTAAATGGTGAATGTCTATTTTCCGAGTGGTATCGTGTTCAGCCTCGAGGATTGTGTGGTTAGGGTCTAATGCTACAACAAAGTCACCACAACGTGAGCATCCTACTAGAACGTCACTACTATACACCTCGAAGCAACCCTCCAGAAGATTGTGTATTACAAAGCAAGAACACAGACACCCACCCTCTTCCTCTCGTTAAGAGACGTCAACACTTGAGATACCATTGAGGCTGAAGGGACCACAACTGCCTCGATGTATATCTTTAAGAGGTTATTTGACGGATGCATGCTTACCCATGGACCGCCATTCCCTTCTTGTATTGGTTGTGTCTGATGCATACCGCATAACTTGTCTGCTGTTATCATTATTATATATCAGTAACTGCTTATCTCGCTTACTATTGTTGCCGTCTTCCCTTTACTGTCTGCATTACCGACTGACTAACTTGTTTATTTATTTTGTGGAACAGTCGTCTTCTCTTAGCACTCGAATTTTCTCTTCATCATTTTTCACGTTGAAACCAATCAACCTCCTGCCCGGTTATGTGATGGCTGCCGGAACCCGGAAACTACTGCTCGAAGAGGAACTCACTTTAATCACGAAATCTACATATCTATAAATAGCTACCAAACTGTCTAAAATCATCTTATGTATATAACAGTTCATATATATTTTTGTTCTTGTTGCCATATAATTAAGACCTACCACACATGTGGCTTTTCTATTTGGTTGTTATTGGTATGAGCAGAAAACAATTGTGCTGTTCATACTTTAGGTGGCTAACAACCAAATAAGACCATGCGTCAAGGTGCAGATAGTTAGGACTCTGACGCACCAACATATTATTCTAAATTCATTGTACCTCAAATCTGAGTACCTTATAGTCAGTGGAAATCGAATGAATTAGTGTCGCGTGAACAAAAGCTCTGGCTGCGCACGCACTCAAACCGTCGTCCTCCCGAATGCTAGACCGCGCACTTGACCAGTCGATCACACCGACACGTAGTGGGCGTGACTGAAGTATTCCCTTACATTATTAACGATAATCATGACCAATAGAACTTGCACACTTGAAAAGTACAAACCAACTCGTTTCCCAGATGAGTTTAGGAAACAGTGCCCCACCATAACATGCATGCCTACATCAAGGCCATCATACGGTTAATCTGTAAGTCTCCAGTTATGTCGTTAACCCTAAGAAGCCTATTCAGTTGTCGTATACATAGTAATTTTTCCTCCTCAATCGTATGTTCTTATTTTTCGGAACACCTAGTACTTTATATACCCACAGTTACGAACCCGGTTATAATAGGCGGTCATCACAGACCAAATGTCACATATTTGGGTAAGTTTGGTGATGAATCCAACTTCCAGCAGGTTCACACATTTATGATGTTTTGTTGTTAACAGAAAGTCCATCAAACCGACATTCCTATAGAAGTCGATTCTAGGAGGAACTAATGCAACAACTTAGGTTGATTGCTTAAAAGTTGACAAAAGCATTCATTTAAATGCTAGAGCATTAAAACCACTTCCTTATTTTTTATAGGGATTATATTTCCTATTATCCTATATTGGACGATGAAAAGCGACCTCGCGCTCCACTGTGTGCTGTTCGACGATCTAAACAAAGACCTATTGACTACTAGTCTGGTTCCTTCTATCAACAAAAGAAGGATTGCCTACCAGCACGAAATATCGACATGCTCCTAACACACTACTGTTTCAGGTACCCCCTGCTCAGAGATTTCTAATAACTAGCTCCTATCAACAGAAAATACCTACTTCGAATTTCTACTTTCTGTTCATTGTGCTCTATTGTAAGACAATAATACGTCCCACATTCACTGACATATCAATAAGTCAGACCAAAATCATCGTTTACTAATAAGAATCGGCTGAGTTCCACTTTTGGTGCTAAATTTCAACCCATGCACATACTCCAAGCAAGGTTTGTTGTCATGCATTCTAATGCATTTCCTACTATGCATCTACAAAAATGAATAAAAGTCCAATTAATTGGATGATAGCACTTTCCTGATTCATCGGGAATCGATATTATCACTTTCGAACAATATTCTCCAGTTTACCAAGCTTCATTTTGAATACATCCAAGGGAAGAGCAGTAGAGGTTGACTTGTTCGTTAACAAACTGATTGTTTAAAAACATTTTATATCACTCACGTATATTAGGACAAAACATTAATATTATAAGACTATGCGTTATATTGGAACAAGTATTCACAGTCCAGAATAGAGAACCAGATAGAGCTTAGATGATACTTTATTCAGTTCAATCACAAGTAGTCATACTCAGTGAATCCAGAGTAGAAATCAGTGGTAGGTTGGGAAATCATATTTTAAATCCGTTACTACTGATCACAGGTTAATCTCCTGATCGTTTCGCTCATACGATTCTGAGTTTGGTGTTCTGAAACCATATTCGTAGATATGCAATTTGGGAAAACTTTATTAAATCAAATATAAACCTAGGAAGCATGAAAATAAGCTGACAGTCCTGGTAACAGTTCAACTGAAACCACCTATAATATTTGAAATCAATTGAATTGTCGTATGAACTAGGAATCCCAGAGTTAACGCAATCGAATCAAGAAGTGCGACACAACCACAAATAAATGTATTGTATTTGGAATTCGAAATCAAGCATTCAACAAGTACAATGGAATCATTAGTTCATTCAAACACTACATCACCTTTATCCACAACAAATTGATCACCTTTAAAGGTGCTTAGATAATTCAGTAGCCTGAATCAGAACACATATAATTACTTCACAAACGACCATTATTAGATAGTATCTTGTTTTCCAGGAAACCCTAAAATTCCATTGTAACTGATGAAAAACAACAGGTTATGCATCTATTAACGCTGTGCCACTCACTATAAATTGCTATGATATTCTCACGAGGTTGAGCGATTACAGGTCAATATAACCTATTTCTTTTTGATGATTGACTGTTCAGCCTACTTAACAATAACGTTTGAGGCAGTCTAGACACTCCCTTAAACTAAAAATGCTATAACATGGCAGGAAGTGACTGATCTCACCTGAGTAAATAGGAAATTTCTGGAAATAGAGCAATTTTTTCGGTAGTCCTGAAGATGGCACGGGTATTCAGTGTTTGACAACGCTTTTACCAGCAACACCTAATATAATTCGTACCCTCCAAGAGAAATCAAGAGACGGAAATGAGGAGATCAGACGAGTGTATTTGGCGATAATCAATATATCGGAATTCTCTGATCTAATTTGGCTAGCGATTGCGGTAGATGTTGAACACAGCTTCACCATAAGTGATCAGGTGCGGATGCCTGACCGAGCGCCTTCAGCTAAGTGAGTCCATTAAAACATGTGGTCAGCGTCAAATGTGGAAAACATAGAGAGCTATTTATTTTGTAGATTTATTTACCGCTACACTCTGAATAACACCTTTACTACTCGACTGAAAGAATCTAGAATTTCAATGGTATATAATTCACATAGCTTTCACGGCATACTAGTACACCAAATGATATTTATTAGAAGGCTTGTTGGCAACATTGATAGGTAAACAAAGAGACGTCCTAATATACAGTGGCTCAGTTTAGTGCTGGAAATGGCAACGATTACAACACTTACATGAAATTATTAAAAATCAACTTTCGAGACAATGGATTTACTATTCGGCATTCGTAACATGAAAACCTACAATACTACTGTAGCGTGGCGTCGAGTCGAGATTGACTATGAACTTCGCTACAGAGAAACACGTGCCAAATATATCGATAAAATCCCCGGAAAGCCAAATATCAGAAGGCAGTTAATGGACCAAGTCGAGATATATTTGCTGGCGATCTCGTGGTATCGAAAGGATACCGAGATCGTGCCAAGATACAAGCTTGGCCACAGAACGTAACCGAATTCGAGCGAAGTCACAATCTAAGTGTAAGAATAATGGATGTTTTTAGCACAGTTAAACAAAAGCTCGTTAAAACAAGCACTGGTACAGTTGGTTATAATAATATTTGTTTTCATTAAACCAGTCGTGTTCTGGTGATAAAAGTGAGTCACTTCACTATCAACTTATCACATTCTTCCACGGTGGTAAACTGTGAAGAATTTAATCCCGTTCACTAAACTAACATAAACAATACAAATGTAGTAAGAACGGAATACCAAGTCGGTTTAAGCAATAGAAACTCTGAAAAACTGTAAACTGAGCGAAGCGAATCGCATTACAAAACGCGGTATTCATACTAGGTTATAGTAGTGCTAGAAATATGCACATCACACCATAAATGCCCAGGCATGATTGGTTGCCAGTGTGGATGGCGGGATTATGACATATCCTCACCCGCTAGTTTTGGTTGTGGTACAAGCTTCTGAAGGTTAATTTTAGTCTCTTAAAGTCACTGGCGAGGTATAGTCTTAGTGTTATTCTTCTGATACTCAATTTTAATATTTGTCTATTGCATGTTCGTTTGCCAAGTAATTAAAGATAACTTAACAAAGTTAAAAAGGCGAAAGATTTGTCCGCAAAGGAGGAGACACCAGAGTTATGGTTTCTCCTCCTGCTTCGGTTTGGGCACCCGGGCAGTATAACAGCCCTCACACATATCAAATGAGATTTGTATGGCGCATATGTTTTTGGTACCTCCCTGTACCAATATCTATGTGTTAAAATAAATAAAATAAATAACAAAGTTAAGACTTCATTGAGTCTTATTTAATACTCATATAAAAATTATGTTAGATCGATAGATATCTGTGGATCATTATATAAATATGTTCTCACAAAGTATGTTTGTGTGTAAACCACAGCCAACTGAAAAGCAACAGATACCGAGAGCTTCCAGGTCTTATAAAACCTGCTCATATATGAGTGTTTTGTAAGACCTGGAACTCAAATGAGGATATATTTAGGATATTTTAAATACATCAGATCACACTTTATACGAAATTAATGTAGGCATTCCTTGTTTCAAATAGGAAAATATGCTAGAACGGATTGTAAAGTTAATTACCAGAATTATGAAGGATATAGCTAATCAGTATAGCCGTGGCTATACCCAAATTACACACATGTACTTTGGGTTGTTCTGTTCAGTTGTCTCTACATACTATTACTTCAGCCTCATCCTACAAATCACGTTTTTTTCTTATGCACTTAATAATTTAATCTTTTTTTGGTTCTGGTAGGTTCAGCAACTTGAAGTGCAGTATTATTCTGTGGCTCTCTACCTTCATAATATACGTTTGTCACGTTGCTTGTTTCTTGAAGCTCTATGCTTTTTGACAATTTTATAACCTTCAACTTAAGCTCACTAAAAATGCTTGTGTAACCTGTCATTAATATAAGAATTCATTTCCAACTCTTCCTTCAGTTACTGTTATTACTGATAAACAACGGTTTGTCCTTTGAGATTTTTGAAGGATCAATACAAGAACTGCACGTTTTCACATATAAAAACAGTCTACTTTAGTTGAGACCCAGATCCAAAGGGAAAATCAGTTCACCATTTCTGTTCAATAAGATTTGTAGTACTGTTTATTTATCTCATTTTAGAATCACTACATGAACTGAACAATTTTTAGCAATAATAAAGAATAACTGTATGGTGAAGTCAAGTGTAGCATTATTGTGCAAAAGTACTTCAGCGTTGAAGAGACGTAAAATCTATGAGACATCTGAGAAGTGCTTAAAACAGATTACACATTTATACCTAAATGGTAAAAATCTAGATGAACTGGTAAGATTCTCTAAAATATTATCATAATACTTTATGTGTACTATGTTGGTTTTTGTTTCTACTCCTAGTTATTTTCCTCATTGCTCGTCTTCTCGCTTTCTTTCACATCCAGGGTCAGGAAATCGCTCTGTGTCAGTGCCTAACTGTTCTCTACCTGTATGACAATAAGTTGAAATCTATACCAGAATACTTAAACTTAACCCAGTTGACACATTTATATCTTCAAAATAATCGCATAAGTCGTATGGAAAACTTGAACTCATTAGAGAAGTTAGAAAAGCTGTAAGTTGAAAAATATTTTCATTCTTCTCCTTTCATAAAGTTTCCTCAGCCGAAATTGTATCAGTATAATTGAAGGCTTGGAAGGATTAATCAGACTGCAAGAATTACGCATTGACAACCAAAATTTGAATCCAGGCGAAAGTCTAGTCTTTGATGATCGTAGTCTGAATTCTGTAGCAGTAATGGTCTTGTTATTATTACTTTGTTTGTTATAACCATTCAAAAAATTGCTTTAGATATAATAAAATATCTGTTTGTTGATCTGACGAGCTAATTGTCTGACTGATAAACCTAACAGCAGCATTTAAGATTAACAGCAGTAAGAAAAAATATGATCTATTTTGTTAGGGAGATTCATTTAAACCTGTTTTTAAGATTTTTCAACCCCCTTTATATAATACCTTAACTCTCAAGAAATATTTGTAATTTTAAAGGTTGTTATTAGACCTCATAGGTTTATTTTACCTTAACTTCCTCTTCAAACAATGGGATGCAAACGAGTACCACAGCTGACTAGCCTCTGTTGTTTCAAGTTTATTGGTAAAATCCGGTTTTTAAGGGGACCATGAAATTATTGGAAGTCACAGACAGCAATTAGCTTATTTGATTTTCCAGATTCCTGAACACTACAGAAGACCACATCCACTAAAGATATCAGAGTGAATATGAAAGATAAATGAAGATATTAGGAATGGGGTTGTAGATAATTTGCTCACAGTTCTCAAGCTTGTAAAGTATAAGTGTATCTGGATTGTTGTGATTCATTCTGGCTATAGATTTCGAAGAAAAGACAAAACATCTATTTCACTTTTTATCAAGTTCCTTAGTAAGGTTTTTATGTTAAGCGGTTAAAATTCCTTGGTTAGATAACCGTTGTTTAATTTTGAGACGATCCCAGCTGAATAATCTGTTTCTAATTTTGACTTTCTACTTTCCCCCTAATCTCTTATCGTGTAACCATTTCCGTGTAAAAAATATCCCAACTTAATAGAATAGTCTTATATGCTTGGATGTGTCAGGTAACAAACTGGACACCCTACAAGATTTGAGTAACCTTCATGCCTTAATCTCTTTGAATGTATCGAATAATTCCATACGATCTATCCATGATCTATCTACATCACTGAATAAATGGTCAAACCTTAAAGAGTTCCATATAAAAGGCAATCCTGTCATGAAAACAACTCGAGCAAGAGATATCATCATTGTAACTGCAAAACGTCTAGGTAAGTTGTTTTCAGTGGATACTACTTTCAATCACATTAACGCGTTTAGTTTGATATTTGTGCTATGTGAATTTCATCTGAATTTAAAGTTGGTTTTTGTGAAATAGCAGTATCATTCAATTGCTTACTTAATTACTTAATCTTCACTTATCTTGGAAGTCTCATCAGCCCTTGTGGTCTGGTGTGTGACGAAATCTCAGCACGGATACAGAAGGCTCGACTAGCTTTTACCAGCTTGCGTCATTTATGGCGTAGGTGAAATATCCGTCTAACCAAAGGACGTGTTTACTGCGCAGCAGTTTGTTCCGTCCTACTTTATAGCAGTGAAACATGACCGGTAAGAGTAGAGAATATACATAGGTTACTAGTATTTGATCATAGGTTTCTTCGAAATATTGCTCGTATATCCTGGGACCATCGAGTAAGTAACGCATTTGTTAGGAAACGGGTACTAGGTAGGGATAGCAAATCAATTGATGAAATAGTGAAACTTCATCAGTTGAAATGGCTGTGACATGTGTTACGTATGCCCAACCACCGACTGCCCCGACGTGCAATGTTCAATAGTATAGGAGTAGGTTGGAAGAAAGCTAGGGACGGCCAGACCAAAACATGGCACAAGTTCATGAAGTCACTGACAAGTGGACTGAGTCATATTGGCAGGTGTAGACTACCTAGTTGGGGAGCGCGGGATGATAGCAACCGATGGTTAGAGACCCTGAATGCCAAGGCTCAAAATCGTTTGCAATGGAGCAAGTGCATCAACTCTTTGTGTTCCCCGAAATTCTAATCTTCTGAATTCTTCATGTCCCTTTCTTTTTTCTCTTTCCAAATTTATTTCACTGGATTGTACTCCTTGAATAACATCTTCAAACCCTAATTTTTCTGATTACAGCTTATAATTTTACTACATCTAGCACTACGGGATTTGAATCGACCACTGCATCTCTGTTCTAATGTGGTGTGGCAACTCGAACTGATATACGTACGTATGAAGTTCTTCGTTGTTGCTGACTGACTTATTATTTATTAGTAGAATGACCAGAGGAACAGAATGGTGACTGCAGAGGCGAGATACGTAGAGTCGTATTTCTGTTCGGTCGTCGAGTGGTTTGTGGGAGATGTAAAAATGAATGAGTGTAATAATAGGCCAAATATGACATGATAAAAAATGGGACGAACTCACTTTAAAGCAGCAATATTTCACGTTATTGAATAATAAAAATAGTCCAGTGAGCTTTAAATGTCATAAAGTGGTGTTCATAAACTTATAATTTGTTCGGTGAGTGATATGATTGCGTAAATGTCATAATTTAATGTCAGCACGAACAAAAATAATAATTCTACGTTAGGTGATAATATGCCACTAATGTGATAATGAGACTGTGATAATTATTTGAATCATAATGGAACAATCTGCCGGATGGACCAATCAGCAAAGTTGACATGAGGACAAAGTATCAATAAGATAATACGATTTGAGCATGTCCATGTCGAGCTGCACAGGGTTTGCTGAGTATGTCCCATTGAAGATCGAACTGCATTCGCTGACTTTGTTCGTCGGAAGTGTAGAGTGCAGAAGTTTTTTCATCGATGTAGCTTGCTGCGTTAGGTTCGTCGGTGGCGGGCTCACCACTTTAGTGGCTCGAGATCTGACTCCAATTAGATCTTATGAATGATTGCTATTGAAATATATGTCACCTATCCTCATATATAATCATCGACTTAAATTGCATTAGTGTTTAATGGAATTAAATGAGTCAAATTTGAGAATGGATTTGGAATACATATATTTTGTACAATCATACATCTGGACAGACAATCAGAGGAACGAAGCGAATAGAAAAGAGCTAAGGGAAATGACTGGCGGCGAAGGCGTGTAAGCCAATTCCATTTAATCAAGAGTTAATCAATAATTCTGGTCACACGAAAATAGGCTACATATATGTGACGAGTAGGATAAGAAGTGTGCACACAAATGCTTATATAAAAGCAGCCAGGCTTGATAAGCGAATAATTAACAAGGTCAAAACGTGGCTCAAGAAGAATGAATAAATCGGCCTGCCTAGAAGCTAGAATTAGCTATGTGGGCTTAACATAGTAAACGACACTACAAAGTTCCTCTGAGATGGACTACAGCCCTCGTAAAACTGGTTTCTATCATCTTCACTGCCATCATTGATGCGTACATAGCATTGAATAACACTCACTGTGACCCTTTCCTCTTTTGTTTTTATGAATGCCTTAATAATCCTGGAGCCGTGTATTTCGCATCCTAAATTTGCTTGTTTTCTCCTTTGAAGGGCATCAGTGCAATCTTTTGTGTGTATGAAGGATGTTCTCTTTCATGACTAAAAGATAACTGCATCTTGTGAATATAGTCTTTTCTCAGATGGTGTTCAATGGATTTGACTTATTCCAAACTGGGCCAGGTTGTATGTCCTCTTTTCTACAGCTATTTGAATGACCTTCCCGGTCTCCTACATTGTCCAGATGTTTCATTTTTATATAATAGTTGTTGCTCTGGTTATTAAAAGGTCATTGACCTCGAGGCATTAAAGCATCTCAGATTTCACCGTGAAGCATCATAAGTCATTTTTTAGTTAGCTAGTTGTAATGAAGTTCATTGATACTAAGTGGAGTTGCAAACCCCTACTTCTAACCCTCTTTCATTACCCGGATTTGGAAGAGGCAGTAGCTTCATCCGGCCTCCATGAGGTATCATTATTGCTCGATTAACTAATAAGAACTAAATTCTTCTTACGCTGAAGAAGTGGATCAGATTAAGTCACGAAACGTCAGAAATACAGTTTTCTACTCATTGGGATATAACAAGAAAACATATTAATTATTAACTTCCTACCCGTCACTCAGCTTATTCAAAAAAGTCTAGCCTTGCCATTGATACTATTACGTCCTTGATATGTCTACCTAATAGTATGCCGGAGATAACTTGTTTACATCTAGATTAAGGCTTTGACATTGTAGGCTGACTGGTCCAACCTTGAGGCTAGAAACGCGTGAGGTCGAAGTGAGACTAACTGCCTTGGGTAGAGAGACGAAAACTATTCTATCACCTGATTGACTGACAAGCGCTCATGAGTGAGATGACAAATTAAGTGGAACACTTCTCGACTCATTCCCAATTCCGATTCACACTCAGAACTGGTTCCGACTTAGATTAGTGTAAAAAGATACACGAATAAATAAATGAATAACAAAATCACAAGGCACAACAACTAGAAAATACAATTATGTCCAAAACTAGGCAATTGGGTAGAAAAATATAGTACTTAAGGTTTCGTTTAAATTACAATAGCTTTGGAACAAGAAGGGTTATAACAATGCATTATAAATCAAACGAAAGCTTGTGATTTGTAGAAAATAATAGTAACAAAATAAATGTTAGTGTTTTACGAGGTTTGGATTAAATGGAATAGCGTCCCCAAAAAGAGCTTCCGTAGTTTGTCCTAGCTTCTAGATTCTCTGTTCACGTCAGATACGAAGACCAAATTAATGTTCTACGATTTCATCAATAGCTGAAACCGATGTTTATAATTTGTTAAAGCAAAACTAGATCCATTTGTCGATATATTTGCACTGTCTCGTCCGTATATATGTGTTTGAGAATTCCTTTTATTCAATAGAGGTAGGACAAAGCGGTCCGTTTAAGTTGTCCCACTTATTAATAACATAGTGATAAAAACCAGAGTCATTAAAATAAGTAAAAGGAAGTATATGGTTAGATAGTGAAGAGGCGACTTGTTCGACCAAACCCCTGTTACAGGCTTTAACATAAATAAATTTACAATATCATGTAAGAAATATATCTTGGATACGTTTTACTTTGGTTATTCTACTCAAACAAAATCATGTTTTGTTCCCTAATTTCATATTGTTTTCGTATAGAAGTGCTGGATAATAAGGTGATATCTGAACCAAATAGACAATTTTTAGAAAATTGGAACCAGTATAAGAGTTTTAATCTCGAATTGTCAAGTAAGTCAAGTTTACACTTAGTTTATATATATATATATATACTGCCGGTCCCAAGCTCGGGTAAAGTAGGAGGTTTCGGCGTGGGGTCGGCAACTCCATCTCATAGAAAACAACTTTGCTAAAAAGACGTTAACCAGATTAAACAAATCAAACCATTTAAACTCTGCCCTGGGAGTTGAAGGAAGAATTATAACGTCTTTCAATGAAAGCCGAGATTATTCGAAACTCACGAGGCCGATGCCCACTCTAACAACCTGAGCAGCAATTTTTAAAGGTACACGGAACGTCCGGACAATGTGAGAGACCGGGAAGACCAGTCAAATAGCAACAGAAATGAGGAGATACAGCTTGGCGGTGCTCGGAATAGGTGAAACCTTTCGGACTGAAGCTGGACATCAAAGGTTAGATACGGCAGCGATGCTGCTGTACTCTGGTCACGAAGAGAAAAATGCTATGCACACTCAAGGAGTTGCTGTGATGCTGTTCAAAGATGCACGAAATGCACTTATTGGGTGGGAATCTCATGGATCCACAATCACAAAAGCATCATTCGAAACAAAGAAGGAGGATATCACAATGATAGCAATGACGACAATAAAGATCAATTCTATGAGGCTGCAATCAATCATAGAGAAGTGCCCAAGAAAGGGCCTCACCATTATGATGAGGTCGAAACACCAAAGTCGGGATAGACAACACCGGATATGAAAATGTCATGGGACGACATGGACTGGGAGAGAGAAACGAGAATGGGGGAAGATTTGCAAATCTATGTGCATTCAACAAATTGGTTATAGGCGGCACAATATTCCCACACAAACGTATACACAAAGCTACATGGATCTCACCGGACCACACCGCGGAGAACCAGATAGATAATATTTGTATCCATAAAAAATTCCCAAGGACAGTGGAAGATATGAGAAACAGGAGAGGAGCTGATATAGCTTCGGATCACCACCTGGTGGCGGCCAACATGAAACTGAGGTTAAAGAAATACTGGACAACTGGGGGAACAGCATTACATAGGTTAAATACAACGAACTCAACGAATTCAAGATAAATCTCAACAACAGGTATACAATGGACAGCTTGGATGCAAATAGACGGTTCAGACTTCGCAGATGACTTTGCTTTTCTCTCCCATTCACACGAACAAATGCAGGTTATGACAACCAGTGTGGCAGAAGCCTGTGTATCAGGAGGGCTCAATATACACAAGGGAGAAAGCAAGATCCTCAAATACAACACAGAGAATACCAACCCAATCCCACTTGGTGGAGAAACTCCGGAAGAAGTGGAAACGTTCACGTATCTGGGCAGCATTGTCGATGAACGTGAAGGATCTGATCCAGACGGAAAGGTGAGAATTGACAAAGCAAGGGTTGCATTCCTGCAGTTGAAGAACATTTGGAACTCAAAACAACTGTCAGGCAGCATCAAACTGAGAATCTTCAATATGAATGTCCAGACAGTTCTGCTGTACTGATCTGAAACTTAGAGAACTACCACAACCATAATCAAAAATGTAAAAGTATTTATAAACAATTGTCGACGCAAGATACTCAGTGTCTGTTGGCTGGATACCATCAGCAACAGCCTACTGTGGAAGAGAACAAACCAACTTCCAGCTGAAGAGGAAATTAGGAAAATACGCCAAAGATGTATAGGATGTACATTGAGGAAATCACCAAGCTGCATCACCAGGCAAGCGCTAACTTGGAATTATGGAGGGTAACGGAAAAGAGGAAGGCCAAAGAACAGTGCGTCGGGAATCGGAAACAGATATGAAGAAGAATAAATAGCAACTGGAAAGGATTGCTCGGGATCGAGTTGGATGGAGAATGATTGTGGGCGGCCTATGCTCGTACACAAGGGGTAACAGGCGTAAGTACATATATATAATTGGACATGGATATCTGATGCACAGTATTTTGATTTTTAAACTAATTATATCTTTTTGCTTGAATCAAACTTGTCAGAAATTCTCATTTTACGAAGAATGTTAATTCCCTTCTTCATACTGAGATAAAGTTCCTACCCAAAAATATATTTCATAATCTATTTAGAGGATAAAATAAGACAAGAGGATCATCAGCCTTTACTTCTAAGCTAGTCTTCAACAGCTTGTCAAGCTTCCAAGTTCCATCATCTTCATCTCCCGATCCATAGAATCTTGATAAAATACCAAGCATTGGTATAATACAGTCATCCTATGCTCATGGTGCCATATTATAGAGTGGCTACCTACCTTCTGTCCTTCATTGACTCATATTCACAAGTAATTATCAGCAAAATGTGCCTGAGCTACAAAAATTGACACTTTAAAATACATCCACTGCTCAGATTTTGTTCAGTAGAACCTGGGATTACGCACATTTTGTCTTCGCCGATTATGAGTTGTAGTACGGATATAAAGATAATCTAAGCAGTCCTGTCTGAAATTATCAATTCAGATAGACCAGTTCTTACAAGCGTGAGGTGGAACTACTTGCGCCAAAGTATGGTACACCTGACCTTGTACAACCAAGGGGACGGCCTAGAGGTGAGTTGGATGGTACATACGTAAATGATTTCTGTATGCCACTCACACCAAACTAAAGACATATAGGTGGGTCTGAGGTATCAAACATCCGATGAATGGTCCGGTAATTTCGATTCAAGTTCATTACTGATGTATCTATACAAGCTCACCTAAAAGATTCTTGCTGATTGCTGATGTGCCTCGTAAAGCTGAACATAATCACACAACACCTGATACACTAATACCTTAATCCAAGCCGATAAATTTACATAGATATACCTTTAGTAAATGACAAGGGCCTAACATATTAGAAAACATTAACTACCTTAAAATTAATAAATTGTAGATATATTCATCTCTTATCTTCGTTGTGATTCGTATTACCTTCCAGCTGATTTTCTCTTCTTACGCTTTTGGAAATTTAGTGTGATCCTCTTCTGTATAAAGTTCTCTTTAACGATATTTAACTACATATTATAGGTTCGTCCTTTCTCGAAACAATATAAAAAATGAACACGTTTGCTCTACGTTAATTGTGCGATGATAGAGAAGATTCGTTGCTTAGGTGGACAATTGTGATAGTGTTTCAATTTCTGAGCTGGATAGTTTAGTCGTAATTGATTAGTAAATTGGGTCCATTTCAATGTGCACATTATTTGGTGGTTGAACTAAGTCCCAAGCTTTTGTGAAATCTATGATATTCTTTATATTTCTTCTATCGGAAATCTCAGTATTTTCCCAGTCGAACTTGTGCCCACGTTCATTGATATAAGTAAAAATACCTCATGACCCTTGACATCCCGTTGGTGTTTATGAAGACGAAGATGAAGAGGATACCCACTTTTTCGTATGTAGTGTTTCAATTGAAAAAAATTTTTTGTAGATAATGTTAGGATTTTCTTCTTGTCATTTCGTCTTTTGGTTTTCGTAAAATTGATAGAAAGGATGTTTTTGTTTATGTATCAAACCTAATCCAAACATTCTCAACAATCTTGTAATCTCTGATGTTTTTTACTTATGGTAGGATGATCCGTTTGTTGGTTTCTGCGTTTGATTTCGGCTTTGGTAATGAGTTTGTTTGATGTTTTTCAGCGAACTTGCTTAGATAACCGCCCTTAAAAAAATAGTCACTAAATATTTATTTCCATTCTATTCTGTGTTGTAGTGTGCTTTTGATCCTCTGAACGAAGTTTGTGCTCAGTTGGTTTTGTGGATCTTTGCTACTGTAGTTGATAATATGTTCTGTGTAGTCCCATTGGTTTACGTTTTGCTTGCTCGTAGATTTTATTGTAGACCTGAAAGTACGTTATTAAGCATAAATCAGTGAGTTCTAGTAAGCTTTGAAGCTCCGTGTACTTTGAAAGTTTCGCGTCACTGTTGAGGAGCAGGGTTAAGGTGTCCTCTGCTAATTTTGGTTCAACCGAGACTAGTAGGTCTGCAACGTTGAAGGATATCATAATTTCACTGTTGTTGATTTAAATCTCCTTAATCTTTTCCGAGAATTATATAAGAAACTTACTTGAGTGATCAGTTGAAATCACCAAATATCGCAATGTTCTTGGAATTTCTCTCGGTAAGTAGTACGCTTGGGTTCCAGGGAGTTGGTACAGCAGAATACAGTTGGACTTTTGGTTTGTATCGTTCCGGTCTGCCACATAGTCAAGGGGCGATGATCTGTTAGATTCCATCCACCACTGATCTTGTTTTAATATTTGTATTGCTTTGGTAAGCTTGTTTAAAGTTCTAGGGACCTTGTTGTCTAGATTTTTGATTGAATTGGTGTCCATCAATTTGTGTACGCAGATCAGTCATTATATCACACTGGATTCTGTCGGTCACGTAACTGTAGTTATCGGTGAACACCGTGCGCCGATCGGTTACTCTTTGTGAGACTATATAGGGTTAAATAGGACTACAATAAATCGTGAAAATAGTTTAGATACTCACGTTCTATAACCAAGGGTAAATTCTAATGATTTTTTGAGGATGACTTTCAGTTCAATACTCCGGAAACCAGAAAGCATGGAATAATTTGTTCTACCTCTAATGCTTTGTAGAAACTCGAAATATAGGACAATTACGTAGCATTCTCAAACTTTAGCCAACAAATGAAACAATCTTTCGCTCAATATTTTTCTGTTTTGTTCTATTAATTGCATTTTTGTTACGAAATTTCAGAATGTCCTATGAACAAGCAAATTTCACTTGGTTCGAAACCTGAACTGATAGACTTATCACATCAGTAATTTAAAAAAGTCTCCTGCAAGTTGTGAATTGCGACGAGAATGAACAATATAAGTGTTCATGTGTTTTAAAAATCTATTTATGTTTATTTCACTTGTGAGCTACATCCTGATTTCAGTCAATAAAAATTTATGTAGACCCTGTATATATTTTTGAAATCGCAATAAAATTTATTCAAAGGGGAATGTAGAAACAAACCAGCACTGACTGTAGAAATATTTATAATCAAGGAGCACTGGACAGCTGTTTTGTTTCACTTTTCTAGACCGTATCAGAATTTGTTAATTTATTATTGTACTGCATCAATTTTCAGTCAAGAGTCATCATTATGCTAGTAACGAGTTGTTCGCATCGTGACTTGATTATTTACGAAGCATGTCTGTAACCCCAAAAACGGTACTGCTTGATGACGTGCTGTCCACTACTTTACCGGTAAGGAAATTGATCGATAATGATAGGTCACATACCTGAATTATATTTTTTCACTGACTAATGTCTTTGAAGTTGATAGAATCACTGAGTGAGCAATCCCATTCTACGGTGTAGATAGTAAATCACATGATGAGGCTAAGAGCTTTGATTTACTGAGGTAGTGAAAAAATGTATAGGGGATTACAACTAATTATAATCTAATTGAACGCTAGATCCGGTTTCCAAAGCTCTTCTAGTAACCCCCAGGCTAAATATAAACAGCATCTTGAACACGAGAGAAAAGGTGCGATTTAAGGGAAAAAGCTTTACTCTAATATTTGTTAATGTACAGAAAGTCTGAAGTATTTATAACATTTTAGATGGCTTTAGGCCTACGGAAAATTCTGGAATGTTACTAAACATAGTAGCAATATAGGTAATCCAATCAGAAACTCGACATGTGACCCACTTTCCAAGTGTTTCTGGCAAAACTTCAGTTGAATACTGATAGGATAAGGGGTTTCTCGGTGTTTTCTGAGCCATTTTGTTGGCTGTTTTCGAGCAGTTTTCTAGATCTCAGCATACAGAATTATTACGAGGACGAGAATGACCCATTAGCTACATAATCTGTTTTTTATTATTTGTCGAAATAAGAGTCGATTCATGTGTGTGTGTGTGTGTATTCAGCCACTACATGTAGATTGTGTTAACCAATGCAAAGTAAAACCAGTCAGACCATGTTAAATCTAGTGCTTAGATTATTAATATACCGGATATAACTTGAGAAATGGAACTCTAGAGCCCTCCAAGTCGCAAATGGGAAGAAAAGTGAAAAGTAGGCTATTACAAACAGTGTCAATTATGGTACAAATTTGTCAGATATTTATAGTTCTAGAAAAAACGAACTCATTATAGTCCTCCAATTTGCACACAGGGTGTTAATAGCATTTGTACAATAGTAAAGCTACGCGTAGTGACTCTAGAATATTCTTTCAAAAGATGATTGTGTGGGATATCTTCGGAGCATTCTGAGATTCTTAAAGCTTCCTCGAGTTAACACATGAACAGCCTACACAGAAAACTGTGGTAACTAAGATCAGCATCCAACGAAAAAAACTAGAAAAATACTCAGAAAGCTGAAAGAAAATAAAAAAAAACGTCCAAAAATGATTATTCAAGTGTGGGAAAAACTGGTTAGGATAATTGAACAAACACCGAAGAAGCGAAGACTATGAGAATTCGCATAAACTGACAAAAAAATAACATCATAAAAACATACGAGAAGATAAAAATACATTATATATTAACGGACAAGAAATGTCAACTAGCCTCGTTTACACCAAACCCATCGTTGAACACACTCAATGAAACGTGAGATCGAGCAAGCGTGCGATCGAGCCAGTGAGTGAGTGAGTGAGTGATTAAGTAAGTAAGTTAGTAAGTGACAGTTGACTTCATCTGTGTGTTGAGGATGGCTAAGATTTGATTTGCACCCAACACATCCGACCACCATACTACTGTGCAATTGATATTAGCCCATGTGTAGGGCTGCCAAAGAAAACTTCGATTCTTGGTCGACGGTTCTTACCATGCAACAAATCACAAGAGTAAAACCGTGACGGTTAATCCGAACCGCTCACAGTCTACCAACCCTACTATCAAACAACACCTCACTCCCATTCATCCATTTGCAAATTAATCATCTCTGTCAACACAATCATCACTCGACAACAGCAAACACAACAGTAATAGCTCCTCACCACTACATTCAACATTACTACATGCATACACGCCTGCACACAACCACTGGGAAACCATAATACACCACATACTAACACCAATCTCAACAATAATAAGTGCACTTCATACACTACTCACAACCACAACTTATCAGTAGACAAGAAATGTCAACTAGCCTCGTTTACACCAAACCCATCGTTGAACACACTCAATGAAACGTGAGATCGAGCAAGCGTGCGATCGAGCCAGTGAGTGAGTGAGTGAGTGATTAAGTAAGTAAGTGAGTAAGTGACAGTTGACTTCATCTGTGTGTTGAGGATGGCTAAGATTTGATTTGCACCCAACACATCCGACCACCATACTACTGTGCAATTGATATTAGCCCATGTGTAGGGCTGCCAAAGAAAACTTCGATTCTTGGTCGACGGTTCTTACCATGCAACAAATCACAAGAGTAAAACCGTGACGGTTAATCCGAACCGCTCACAGTCTACCAACCCTACTATCAAACAACACCTCACTCCCATTCATCCATTTGCAAATTAATCATCTCTGTCAACACAATCATCACTCGACAACAGCAAACACAACAGTAATAGCTCCTCACCACTACATTCAACATTACTACATGCATACACGCCTGCACACAACCACTGGGAAACCATAATACACCACATACTAACACCAATCTCAACAATAATAAGTGCACTTCATACACTACTCACAACCACAACTTATCAGTAGACAAGAAATGTCAACTAGCCTCGTTTACACCAAACCCATCGTTGAACACACTCAATGAAACGTGAGATCGAGCAAGCGTGCGATCGAGCCAGTGAGTGAGTGAGTGAGTGATTAAGTAAGTAAGTGAGTAAGTGACAGTTGACTTCATCTGTGCGTTGAGGATGGCTAAGATTTGATTTGCACCCAACACATCCGACCACCATACTACTGTGCAATTGATATTAGCCCATGTGTAGGGCTGCCAAAGAAAACTTCGATTCTTGGTCGACGGTTCTTACCATGCAACAAATCACAAGAGTAAAACCGTGACGGTTAATCCGAACCGCTCACAGTCTACCAACCTTACTATCAAACAACACCTCACTCCCATTCATCCATTTGCAAATTAATCATCTCTGTCAACACAATCATCACTCGACAACAGCAAACACAACAGTAATAGCTCCTCACCACTACATTCAACATTACTACATGCATACACGCCTGCACACAACCACTGGGAAACCATAATACACCACATACTAACACCAATCTCAACAATAATAAGTGCACTTCATACACTACTCACAACCACAACTTATCAGTAGACAAGAAATGTCAACTAGCCTCGTTTACACCAAACCCATCGTTGAACACACTCAATGAAACGTGAGATCGAGCAAGCGTGCGATCGAGCCAGTGAGTGAGTGAGTGAGTGATTAAGTAAGTAAGTGAGTAAGTGACAGTTGACTTCATCTGTGTGTTGAGGATGGCTAAGATTTGATTTGCACCCAACACATCCGACCACCATACTACTGTGCAATTGATATTAGCCCATGTGTAGGGCTGCCAAAGAAAACTTCGATTCTTGGTCGACGGTTCTTACCATGCAACAAATCACAAGAGTAAAACCGTGACGGTTAATCCGAACCGCTCACAGTCTACCAACCCTACTAGCAAACAACACCTCACTCCCATTCATCCATTTGCAAATTAATCATCTCTGTCAACACAATCATCACTCGACAACAGCAAACACAACAGTAATAGCTCCTCACCACTACATTCAACATTACTACATGCATACACGCCTGCACACAACCACTGGGAAACCATAATACACCACATACTAACACCAATCTCAACAATAATAAGTGCACTTCATACACTACTCACAACCACAACTTATCAGTAGACAAGAAATGTCAACTAGCCTCGTTTACACCAAACCCATCGTTGAACACACTCAATGAAACGTGAGATCGAGCAAGCGTGCGATCGAGCCAGTGAGTGAGTGAGTGAGTGATTAAGTAAGTAAGTGAGTAAGTGACAGTTGACTTCATCTGTGTGTTGAGGATGGCTAAGATTTGATTTGCACCCAACACATCCGACCACCATACTACTGTGCAATTGATATTAGCCCATGTGCAGGGCTGCCAAAGAAAACTTCGATTCTTGGTCGACGGTTCTTACCATGCAACAAATCACAAGAGTAAAACCGTGACGGTTAATCCGAACCGCTCACAGTCTACCAACCCTACTATCAAACAACACCTCACTCCCATTCATCCATTTGCAAATTAATCATCTCTGTCAACACAATCATCACTCGACAACAGCAAACACAACAGTAATAGCTCCTCACCACTACATTCAACATTACTACATGCATACACGCCTGCACACAACCACTGGGAAACCATAATACACCACATACTAACACCAATCTCAACAATAATAAGTGCACTTCATACACTACTCACAACCACAACTTATCAGTAGACAAGAAATGTCAACTAGCCTCGTTTACACCAAACCCATCGTTGAACACACTCAATGAAACGTGAGATCGAGCAAGCGTGCGATCGAGCCAGTGAGTGAGTGAGTGAGTGATTAAGTAAGTAAGTGAGTAAGTGACAGTTGACTTCATCTGTGCGTTGAGGATGGCTAAGATTTGATTTGCACCCAACACATCCGACCACCATACTACTGTGCAATTGATATTAGCCCATGTGTAGGGCTGCCAAAGAAAACTTCGATTCTTGGTCGACGGTTCTTACCATGCAACAAATCACAAGAGTAAAACCGTGACGGTTAATCCGAACCGCTCACAGTCTACCAACCCTACTATCAAACAACACCTCACTCCCATTCATCCGTTTGCAAATTAATCATCTCTGTCAACACAATCATCACTCGACAACAGCAAACACAACAGTAATAGCTCCTC